TGGCTAATGTGAATATGCGCCACCGTCACAATAATCGCGTAGAAAACCAGTTGCAGCAACGGCAACTTCGTTCGTTTGCTGCTAATGTCACACCAGTTTCAAAACCGTCGAATGATAATCGGTCTTATGAACAGAATCATAAGAATAGAAATTGCTTATGTTGTAATGCTCAACATACGTTGACAAAGTGTTCGCAATTTTTAAACTTATCCCCTCAAGATAGATTTGCTTTAGTTCGTAAGAAAAATATTTGTTATAATTGTTTGCATTTTGGGCATGATGTGAATCAATGCAATTCTAGTTTTGTCTGTCGTACATGTCATAAGCGACATCACACATTAATTCACTTTTCAAGTAAATCGTTACCGATTACTGATAATAAAATATCTGCAAATAATGCAGTCTCGCTCCCACCTTCAGTGGTAGCTGAGATGCCTGTAACCGCTACCACGAATGATCCGCAGTGCGTTGCTCCCGCCGGTGAGAACGTGATTCATAATTGTTGCGCGTCCAATGCCGCGTTCGCTCGTACGACTACGGTGCTATTGTCTACGGCACTCGTCGACGTATGCATAGGTGCGGTGAAAATAGCGACCGTTCGCTGCATTATAGACACTGGAAGTCAGGCGAGTTTTATCACTGAGGCGTGTGCGCAGCGTCTGGGTTTGATGCGCGGGCATGTTAATGTTTCTGTGTTCGGTATAGGCAATAGTGAAGCGGCGCGTAGCAAAGGATTTATAAATTGTAATATCGCGCCTAAGGGTAGATTAGAACCCTTAGTTCCGGTAAATCTTTTAATTTTAAACAAATTAATTTCACAAATGCCGAGTATGCAGTTACCGTACACTGGTTGGCCTCATATAAAAGATTTAAATTTAGCGGATCCCGCTTTTCATACGCCACAGCCAGTGGACCTGTTATTAGGAGCGGATATACTATCCCATGTGCTTTTGAGTGACGTCATTACGGGCTTACCAGGTTCACCGATAGCAGTAAATAGTATATTCGGTTATTTATTGTTAGGTAAACTAGATATTGTTTCCTCTCCGTCTCAACTTCAAGTTTGTTTTAGTTCATTTGACAATGACAACCTTCAGAGATTTTGGGAATTAGAGTCACTTCCTGAAAAACGGAGTTACACTCCTGATGAAGAAATATGCGAATCCTTTTTTCAAAAGACGCATATACGTGACGCAACGGGGCGATACGTGGTCGCTTTGCCTTTTAAGCCGGAGGCTCCCCCTCTAGGCGAATCCCGTCAAACTGCACTTGCGCGCTTTCGTAAGTTAGAGTTTCGTCTCGAGCGAAACCCGAAGCTTAAGGAAGACTATCATGCCTGTCTCCAAGAGTATCTGGATATGAAGCACATGGAGCCCGTTAAGGGCGAGCCGACATCAGGGGCCACTTATTATATTCCGCATCATTGCGTGGTCAAAGAATCCAGTGAGACCACTCGCACTCGAGTAGTTTACGACGCCGGGTGTAAAACTTCTAGTGGCTACTCATTGAATGACATTTTGTTGACAGGTCCTAAACTTCATTTAGATATAGTTAATGTTATTTTAAAATTTCGTATTCATTCAGTGGCCTTCACTGCTGACATCAAACAAATGTTTAGGAATATTTTAGTTCGAAAGGAAGATAGGGATTTTCAGCGCATTTTATGGCGGAAGTCGCCTGATGAGGTTATCCGTGATTATCGTCTTTCTACAGTCACATTTGGAGTGAATTGCTCTCCATATCTGGCTCTCCGAACTATCCAGCAATTGGCTATAGATGAGGCTTCACGATTCAAACTTGCTTCTAAGGTTTTATTAAATGATGTTTTCGTAGATGACGTCACTTCCGGTGCCTCTACTGTTCATGAAGCTTTAGTAGTTCAACAAGAGCTTATTAATATTTGTAAGACGGCGGGTTTCGAGCTTCGAAAGTGGCATAGTAATTCACCAGAGGTACTTGCTGCAGTAATTCCCCCAGATTCTCATGGTGAGCGGCTCGATGAAGTCCGATTCGCCGAAATGGAACACGATGAACAGGTCAAGGTCCTTGGACTTCAATGGAACCCTATTTCCGACTGTTTCAATTTTAATGTCAAAATATCACCTTGCTTAAGCACCAAGCGCGCTATTCTTTCCGAGATAGCTAAAATATACGATCCATTGGGCCTTTTAGCGCCAGTTACTTTATATGCCAAACATTTGATCCAACTTTTGTGGATAGCCAATATAGGTTGGGATGAAGCACCGCCGATTGATATTGTTAATTCATGGAAATCATTTAGTAGTCAGTTACCATTTATTTCGAATGTGTCGTTCCCAAGGCACATTTTTTCTGATTTAGGATCTGTTCAGATTCATGGCTTTGCCGATGCTTCAGAAAAGGCTTTTGCCGCCTGTGTATACATACGCCTTACGGGCAAAGACGGGCATGTTCGTACTTCGCTTATTATAGCCAAAACTCGAGTCGCTCCACTTCGTATGCGTCTTACTATTCCCCGTCTCGAACTTATGGCAGCCCTATTGTTGTCAAAACTACTACAGCAGGTGTTAGTTACCTACTCAGATTACGTCAAGGGTGATCAAGTTTACGCTTGGTCTGATGCATCCATAGTGTTAGCGTGGTTACGTTCGCCACCACATGAATGGAAAACATTTGTTTCTAATCGCACTAGCGAGATTCTTTCACGCGTTCCCGTTAACTGCTGGCGACATGTACCGTCGACCGATAACCCTGCTGATGCTGCGTCTCGTGGTATGCTACCTGGCGTATTTATAGAACATGATTTGTGGTTCCAAGGTCCAAGTTGGCTCCGACAGGACGAAGCTTGCTGGCCGGAATCAAAGTCTTACTATACAACGGAAGAGGAAAAGCGTCTCAATATTAATTTGATTAACACTAATTTAACTACACTGGATCCCTTACCGGATGTAGAGATAATTTCTCGATTTTCTACGTTAGGAAAACTTGTTCGCGTTACTGCAATAATATTTAGATTTTATTTCAAATGTAAAAAACACATTAAATCTTGCCCTAATTATATAACTGTGCCGGAATATAATTTTTCCTTAAAAAAACTTATTTATTTAGTGCAACATAGTGTGTTCAGTAATGACATTGAAAACATTTCAAAGGGTAAATTGCCTTCAAATCAATTACGTCGTTTAACGCCATTTCTGGATGAAAATCAATTTTTACGTGTGGGAGGCAGAATTCATAAGTCTCTTTTACCATTTGAATCAAAGCATCAATTAATTTTACCGAAAAAACATACTTTAACCAATCTCATTATTGACGATGCGCATATAAAGTATTTACATGCCGGCCCACAAACAGTCCAATACTTATTATTACAACGTTTTTGGATACTTTCTTGTCGCGATATCGTGCGCCAGCGCATACATCGCTGTGTTATTTGTTTTCGCTCTCGTCCTAAGTCTAATCAGCCACGTATGGCACCGTTACCTGCTACTCGTTTACGTCCCTCGCGACCCTTTATTAAGACCGCCGTAGATTACGCGGGTCCTTTTTACGTACGTGCAAATAAGGTGCGCAATGCTAAAGTTGTGAAATGTTACGTTGCAGTTTTTGTATGTATGAGCGTTAAGGCCATACATTTAGAGCTTGTGTCCGAGCTTTCCACGGAAGCTTTTCTCGCGGCTTTGCGGCGTTTCACATCCCGTCGAGGTTTATGTACTGATATTTTTTCGGACTGTGGGAAGAACTTTGTCGGATGTAATAATTATTTAAGGGATTTGTTCGCGTTCTTAAACAGCGACTCTGTACAGGCTAATTTAAATCGAGAGACACTTAAACAAGGCCTAACGTGGCACTTTCAGCCACCATACGCAAGTCATTTCGGTGGGCTATTCGAGGCGGGTGTCAAAAGTTTTAAGCATCATCTACATCGTGTTATTGGCACTCGTACTCAAACATATGACGAGATGCATACCCTCCTATGTCAAATAGAGGCTATACTGAACTCGCGTCCACTCTGTGCAATCAGTGCTTCGCCTGATCCGCTTCCTTTAACTCCATCACACTTTCTGATAGGAGAACCTTTGATTGCTTTGCCTGATGTTTCTTTGGTGGACGAGAATACTAATCGACTTACGCGTTGGCGCTGGGTACAGCAGTCCGTTCAGCATTTTTGGAAGAGATGGAGTAGAGAGTATCTTCATGAGATTCAGCAAAGTCAAAAATGGTTTGAGACTCGCGGGTCTTCTATTCGTGAGGGTACTATTGTGGTAGTTTGCGATGATCACCTGCCACCATTACAATGGAAACTAGCACGTGTCCATGCTCTACATCCAGGTTCGGATAATGTTACTCGTGTGGTGACTTTACAAAGGGGCAATACATTTTACAAGCGACCTGTTGTAAAGGTGTGTCCACTCCCTATCGAATAAACAATTAATCGTTGCATATCGAATCTTAGTTCTAAGTTTTTTATTTATATTTTATTTTGTTCTAAATTTAATATTCAATTTGTTCATTTAATGTTAAAGGCACGTTCCTTTAAGGTGAGCGGCATGTTCCGTAACGAAACAGATCATTGATAATTGGCTATACAAAGACAACACAACTGTGGGTAAAATTTTTATTGTCTATGGGCAAGGCGATTAGCTGTCTTCGTTCCAAATCCCCACCCTTAATCCTTGGGTGACGGTTTACTACTGTGATTTCAAATTGTTAACTGCGCGCACCTAATTTTGATTGAGCTTGGTGAATTGTTCGTTATCGAGAATAAGGACATTTCGGAAGAACGGTGGATCAGTGCCTATGGACTATATATCGTGTATGATATATTCGCTGGTAACCGCGTCGACGCACCCCGTTCCAGAACCCAGCCCTCGGAACCCGTGGCGGTAAAGGATCGCTTGCGGTGAGTCGCCAACCCCTGCTTAATATCGTACACTTTCTATTTTTAAATAAAGTCATGCGGAGGTTATTAAACAAGGTTCCAGTGCATTAGCTTACAACTTACGGAACTTATATTTTAACATTGAAGATTTTTCTTAAAACTAGTGCTTAATCAATAGGCAAATATAACAATCTAAAGGTATTCAGGTAAAAAAAATACATTTTATATAATTTATTCATCATTGTCTTGTTCGTTTTCGTTGTCTTCTCCGTCATCTTGCTCTGGTGCTTCCCACCATGTTAGCAGACCTAAACCAGGTTCATTAATGCCTCCAATCAATCTATATGGGGCTACTGTTTTTACAGCACATTCAGTACCTGGAGGTCCTGATGGCAAACTTTCTTCAAATGCTTCACTTGTCACTCTAAATCTTATTGATTCCCCTGTTAAAAAAATGGTGTGTATGAATAACCTTAAAGAGTTATTATATTACCAGTTATGCAACTAATGCAAAAACAACATAGTAAATATACACTTAATTTTTACCAAGAGATTCAATTTCTCAATGGGACAATATTTTGTTTAAGATGCACAAGTTGGGGCACAAATTTAATTTTAAAATATGACATCCATAATACTTTTTTAACAATTTAAAGGTAATAAAGTGTGTATTCATGGTTCACAGACAAACCATAACATGTTTTACATTCAGTTTTTTCAATAGATCATATTCTATAGTCATGATGATTGTTATATGATATTAGGCAAATATGAACTTTGTAAATTACTATTATAGGACATGTTAAAGTAGGCAAGCCAAATAGAATATATATACGCACACAAACAACACACACGCACACACACGTATAGGTTTACACACAAAAGTTCTACCGATACCGATATATATAAACAATGGTTGTAAAATGTTCCTTAAAATAAGAGGAATCACTGACTTCCAAAAAAAAACAGATTTAATTCTAGATTGGGGGTCAGGGGCTCACAATAATTTAAGTGCTAGTTTGTAACCAAAAATGCAAGATTATTAATTTATATATATAAGAACATGTTATGTTTTGGTTTGAATAAAGATTATTATTATTATTTATTACTATTCAGGGACTACAATTACTATTTGATGCATCACTGGCTATTACAAAGTTGGATTACCTGAGTCCATAAACAAATCATGTTTTTCTCCATCTTCTTTTGGATATTCCCAAACCCAAGCTTGATCTGTTTCATCAAATCTTGATGGATGTTGCAAAGCATTTACTGGTATTAAAATATCATCAAAGAATCCCAATGTAACTGAAACAAATTACCAGATCATCAATGACAACCTCTATAGCAGAGTAGTTTGCATGCCACTTTCAATGTGTCATCACCCTTACATCCTCACTGCTGGGGCTCAGGCCTTGTTTATGGATGGTTAAAGAGGATGGGCCGCCACCTCCACACTGGCCTAAAGGGGATTGGGAACTACAAATGCAGCTGGGAAAAACGGCTATATGTGCCTTCTGAAGCATGGAGTAACCTTGAGATAATTTATTTATAATGGTCGCCTTGCGAGAGTTGTTTAACAACAACGATTGCAAGCTGTATCGCTTCCCCACTACACCACCAATTTAATCTTTATTTTTTTTTATCACATAGGTTTTACACTTTTTCTTAGGATATTATAGTTATCCAATTTTAACAGAAAGTGATTCAAGGGAACTCTCTGTAAAAATTACTACATCTTATTTACTTCTCTTATGATGTGAAGTATCAAAACAATTATACTGTATGGTAATACATACCATGGACACCATCTCGACTACAACTCCGGATTTTTCCAATGAGTATTTCTTCAGGCACGGGTCTGAAAACGATGTATCTAAACCTTACTTCAGTATGTGAAGAACCATCTCCCGGAAATATGTATGAATGACCAATGTGTGTAATATCAAATAGAGCTATACATAAACCAACATTTAGAACTACCTGAAAAAGAAAAATAATGTAAGAAAGTAAGGAATTATTATCACCATCACCTGCTTATTAATTTTCTCAATGGTGATGCTCCAGCCTTCCCTATGAAAGGTATTGAAAGAATGGGCCACCATGAGGGCCCAAAAAGTGGGATAACTGCAGATGCAAATGGATGGAGCTTAACCTGCCTTGCAAAGTACGGAAATGCTCGAGATAATACATTTTTAGGCACCCATCCTAAGACCGGTCTTGGCAAAAGTTGCTAAACAACCATATCGCAGACCAAGCGCACTTACTACTGCGACATCGAGTTCCTCCTATTTAAGAATAAGCAACTTAAAAGGTTATATATTTACCTTATTAGCAAGTTTTCTATTTAGCAAAGTTGTTATAGACTCTGTCAAACTTTGATGAAAATGTTCAGGTGTTATTCTAATAACATCTTTCATTTCAGCTAAAACAAACATAATTTAAGAGATATTTATGTCAATACCATGAGTATGATATATGGTGAAGACAGTTGTTTTGCGAAACAAGCACTTCGCTTCGAGCTTTACGTAGTGTTCGTCACAGGTGTTTGTGGCTTCTTCTTCTTCTTCTTTAATTAATGGCTTATCTGCGCGTTTCGCACAATTCTGGGCTTCCAGAACGTAAATAAAAACACATGTTTTTGACAATGACATTAACATTCAAGAAAGTGACAGACCATGTAGCAAGCTACAGATAGAATAGTCAAATTGCGTAGTTCCTATAATAATACTTTAATATATCGACTTAGGATTGGGCATAAAATATCGATATATCGATTTTTTTCTGAAAAGTCTATGTAAATCAACGATATTTTTTTCTGAAAAATCGATATAAATCAGGGATTTTTTTCCCACGGCTTTCCATATTTATTTTCAAATATCAAATTCGTATCAAAATCAATATATTTTTTAAAGTTATGCTGTCTGCTCATGCGTCACATCATGTATTTCTTAAATTTAGAAAAAGAGTAGTTAGGCAGCAAGCTGTATGAATTTAGAAATAACTGTCTATGACCTGTGGCCTAATAGTCTAGAAACAATCTTTCACAAATCACTTTCAATTTGACATTTGAAAGATATTCGCGAACTTCACGCTACAACTAAATGACATGTGAAAGTAAATGCGATCGCGTCATTTTTTTTGAAAGATATTGAGTGAACGATAACGTTAATTTGACGTTAATCGGAATTGTCTAAGCAAATTGATAGTTACAAATACCTTTAAAAGCTATTGGGTAATGTTAAATGAAAGCGTTGAACACTGACTACAATTTTTCGATATTTTATGTATGTTTTTGAAAATTTTGATAATGATATACGTTCAATACCCAATAACGCTCATAATTATTGTTCCAGAAATAACACAATTTTCATTAAGGTGACTATTGCACGATCTAAATAAATTCCATCATCATTTTACTCAGAACTCTGCATACAACAAAAAATTTAACAGCTATTAATAAATATTTCAAACTTAAAATGAAATGCCAAGTTTATCCTAATTTTCTGACAGATGATGCACAGCTGATTCAACGATACCACGTAGGAATCGATACTTTTAATCGATTCCTATGTCACAAATAGTTTTAAAATGCCTCACAATGTCATCATATTTACAGTTTTTTTTAGAGTAGATTTGATACTATTGATAATCAATAGCATTGCTCTGTATAATGAAGAAAGAGAAGTAGGTCTAGATATAAAAAGCGGCACATATAGGTAGAATGTATTTGGTTAGGTATTGCTTCAAATTTTGGTGGTAGTGTATATAGATCTCTAACTGCATAAAATTAGTAGGGGTTAGTAATGATTAGTCATACAGGGACAGGGATAGACTTTAGACACCTTAATACAGAGTAAACAGACTAACGCTCGCGCGTTTTTGACACTGTTCAGTGACTGGCCGACCAAGTACCGATAGAAACACTTACTTTATTACTTCACGATACTATTTACTCATCATCATCATCATTTCAGCCGAGAGACGCCCACTGCTGGGCATAGGCCTCCCCCAAAGATCTCCAAAACGATCGGTCCTGCGCTTCCCGCATCCAGCGGCTTCCCGCGACCTTCACCAGATCGTCTGTCCACCTTGTGGGGGGCCTGCCAACACTGCGTCTCCCGGTACGCGGTCGCCACTCCAGGACCTTACCGCCCCAACGGCCGTCAGTCCTGCGAGCGATGTGCCCTGCCCACTGCCACTTGCGGTTTGCAATTCTTTGGGCTATGTCGGTGACTTTAGTTCTTCTGCGGATCTCATCATTTCTAATTCGATCTCGCAAAGAAACCCGGAGCATAGCCCTTTCCATTGCCCTCTGAGCGACCTTGAGCTTTCTTATGAGACCCATCGTAAGCGGCCACGTCTCAGCACCGTATGTCATCACTGGCAACACGCACGAATTAAAGACTTTTGTCTTGAGACACTGCGGTAGATGTTCCGAGAATACACTGCGTAGCTTCCCGAACGCTGCCCAGCCGAGTTGGATCCGTCGACTTACCTCTCTCTGGAAGTTGGACTTACCTAATCGGACTATTTGTCCCAGGTAAAGGTACTCGTCGACAGCTTCCAGTGTAGAGCCTCCAACATTCACTGGAGTGGGTACGACATGGGAGTTTGACATTATTTTTGTCTTCTCCATGTTCATTTTAAGACCCACTTGCTGGGAAACTCTACAGAGGTCTTCGAGCATTGTGCCTAGATCTTCCATGGTCTCAGCCATGACTACGATATCATCAGCGAAACGAAGGTGCGTCATGTACTCGCCGTTTATATTGATGCCAAGTCCTCTCCAGTCCAAAAGCTTAAACACGTCCTCCAGTGCGGCAGTGAACAGTTTCGGCGATATAACGTCGCCCTGTCTCACTCCACGCTGTAGTCGTATTGCTTTCGAGTTTTGGTCCTGGAGCCGAACTGACATGGTGGCATTTTCGTACAGTGACTGCAGCACTTGGATGTATCGATAGTCTATTTGGCACCTCTGGAGTGACCTAAGCACGGCCCAGGTCTCGACGGAGTCGAAGGCTTTCTCATAGTCCACAAACGCCAAGCATAGTGGCAGATTATACTCTTCGGTCTTCTGTATAACCTGTCGCAGCGTATGAATGTGGTCTATGGTACTGTAACCTTTTCGGAAACCGGCTTGTTCAGGAGGCTGGAAGTCGTCAAATCTACGTGCGAGACGATTCGTGATGACTCTCGAAAACAGCTTGTACACATGACTCAGAAGCGCGATTGGTCTGTAATTCTTTAATTGGGCCCTGTCGCCCTTTTTGAAGAAAAGCACCACCACGCCCCTGTGCCATGCTTCTGGCGTCTTGCCCTCGAGTATGGCGGAATTAAATAGCTTCTGAAGCGCTTTCCGGACTGGTAGTCCACCCGCTTTCAGAAGTTCCGCTGTGATTCCATCATACCCCGGCGCCTTGTTGTTCTTGAGCTGTTTGAGAGCCACACTAATCTCGTATAGACTGACGTCCGGGATGTCTTCGGTATAATGTCGGGTTAATTTGGCTCTAGGGTCTGTAGCCTCAATGACAGGTTTCTGTGATGTTGTGTATAACTGTCCATAGAAGCGTTCGATCTCCGCCACAAGCTCAGGACGGGATGTAACGACTCTGCCGTCCTCTGTCTTTAGCTTCGTCAGCAAGCTTTGTCCGAGAGACAGATCTCTAGCGAACACTTTGGAGCCTTTATTCCGCTCAATCGCCTCCCTAATACATTGAGTATTAAATTGGCGTATGTCGCGTATGAGAGAATTCGAGATCTGTCTATTGAGTTGCCGACGAGCATCCTCAGAAGACTGCAGAACCATTTCACGCCTTTCTTCCATTAGCTTGCTTGTCTGCTCCGAGATCTTGCTTCTTTTTTGAGTACGGCGAGGTTTGAGGAATTTTGAACCCACCGTAAGGACAGCTTCTACGACCCTGTCATTGTATTCGTCCACATCCGAGCAGCTCTCCAGGCAATCGAAGCGGTTTTGAAGTTCGAGCTGAAAGTGCTCGGGGTCCCGGATCTGGGTGGCTTCAGGACGGAGCGTAGACTTCACCAGTCGATACCGTTCAGCTTTTACATTTAGATTCAATGCGCCTCTTACCATACGGTGATCGCTTCCCGTATTAAACGAATTGATCACTGAGACGTCATTGAATATCCGAGTCTTAGTCGACATGATGAAGTCGATCTCGCTTTTTGTCACACCATCCGGACTCTTCCAGGTCCACTTTCGATGCAACCGTTTTTTGAAGAAGGAGTACATCATATAGAGTCCTTCCCTCTCCATGTAGTCGGCTAGCATTTGACCACGGTGATTCCGGATCCCAGATCCAAAATGCCCCACCTTCAACTCCTCATCGTCACGCTTGCCTAGCCTTGCGTTGAAGTCTCCCATGACAACAGTGTAGTGGGTCGTGGAACCATGTATTGCCCGGGAAATGTCCTCATACATGGCTTCCACTTCCTCGTCGGGGTGCGTCGAGGTCGGGGCGTAAACCTGAATGACCTTCAGCGAATACCGTTCGGTGATTCTGAGTATAAGGTACGCCACCCTATTCGATACACTTCCGATCTGTACAATATTGTTCACGAGAGACTTGTGGACGATAAACCCGACGCCACCTTGGGACAGATCTTCGCCCTCCCGGAAATAGAGCAGGTTACCGGATTTAAGGATCATCGTGTCCTCGCCCTCTCTTCGGACTTCGGATAATCCTACAATACTCCAACGAATCCTGCCCAATTCCTTCTCTAGTTCCAGCAGCTTCTCCTCGGTCCGCAGTGTGCGTGCGTTGTAGGTTGCCAGGGCCAAGGTCGTTTGACGGGGGATCTTTGCCGCCCGGGGATTCTTCGCACCCCTGGTGCCTTCGCCGAGTTGGCGTCCGTCCGCGCCAACACGGCTTACGGCATCGCCGGGCACTCGGGGCCTTTCGTTTGGTTCAATTTTGATCTTTGAGGGGTTTTGGGCCGTCTCCCACCACGCTGGCCCAATGCGGGTTGGTGGGGAGCACCAGAGCCTCGTTGGTTAGTCGGCAGGGTGTACCGCGTGCAGGTGAGGTTGGCTTGGGATCCGTTAGATGTTGTTCGGACCCCCTTACACACTATTTACTACTCCGTTTTAAAGTATAGCTGACATAAGTACTTGGTTTCGATAAAAAAGTATCAAGTTAGTATTTGTATTTCCTCGTATCGATTCATCCCTAGACAAGCTGACATAAAAAACGCACTTGGCGCATTTTATTAGTACGATAGTATGTGCGATGGTTTTGTTTGTTTTTGTTGAAATAAAACACAGAATTTATCAAAAGTATGAAATGTTAAATAATTTCTAATATTTTATTGATATGAATAAAATATTTTTATTCTTTAGTCGAAATAGGAGAATTTCTTACAATCATACGAAATCGTAAAGATTATTTCACAACTTATAAAAACAAAAAGAAATGAATTATCTATGATATTCTGTATCATTCAAATCGTCATTCGTTCCGAAAGCAATTGTGACATTAAAAGTTACACGATCCCATAAATCACCATTACAACCACAATACGTTTGAAAATGATTGTGATAGATTAAAAAATTAGACAATTAGGCCACTGCTTGTCTTTTTGTTTGTCTATGATAATAACGATGCATGTTGGTTTGGTTGGTTTAGATGAGGGTGCTCCTGTTTTTGCTTTAAAATGATAATCTCTTATCACGCATCAAATATCGATATATTAACGTATCGATGTTTTTTATATATCGATATTTTTTACCTTTTTGCCCATCCCTATATCGACTCTTGTTCTCCTTGTCATTACGAAGAATGACATCTGTCATTAACTAGTGTTTGCAATAAAATGCATAAGTTATCGATAAAAATATAGAAATAGGATCTTTGTAAATATTTTCAATTTTATTATGTATACCAAATTAAAAAAACAAATCATATTGAAAATCATTTATTGAGTTTTTTTCCTTAACCTATGGGTTTTACATTTTTTCAGTGCTAACAGTTGGACATTTCACATTTTTTATACACATTTGTCTTCTATATTACTAGTCAAAATCTTATTAATAATATTGCATCAATTGTGGCAGTGAAGGAGAATTGCCAATCCAAAATAATAATTAATTTCAATTTTATGGTGCTTTTTACATCCAAGACATATCGCATTTTCAAATTATAATATTTGTTTTTATATGGATTCTAATAAAATTTATATTTAAATCTTCATCATCAGCCCTTTGACGTCCCTACTAAAGGGGCTCAGGCCTTCCTTAAGGATGGCTAAGGAGATAAGGTAAAACCTAAGCATTCAATCGTTACGTTATATATTTTGTCCTCTATTTCAGACATATAACTTTCATTGTCAACTTTACTCAACAAAAATCCAATAACCATAGCAACAACAGAATTTTTATTAATCAATATCGACAAAATATAACAAAATTTGAAAAAATATAATAAGATTGGTTTCATCCATTAAACATATTTATGTTATAGCATCACCAATCCTCATTAGCAATTTTATGCGGGCCCAGTGCTGAATGTTGGTTGGTTGGTTTTAGCTATGAGGAATTATTTAAAAAAATAGTTCCCGACATCTAACTAGATATCGCCACGGCACGTTCTTGTTTCTCCATGATAACCTTTTCGGTTTTCTTTCATGTTTAATGGTAATTAAGTTTTCAAAACTCAATAAACAACTCATAGGTGTTCTCATTGTACTTTTCGTATTTGTATTGATATTTAAGTTTCGAACTTTGTAAATTTCAGTTTTTTAATATGTTAGTTAAAAGAAACGGAATTGACTATCTGTGGTCCATTCGTTTCCTGCAAAAATCAACTTTTGCTAGGGTCGCCATCTAGTGAGAGGCTTTCTTTTTTTTAAATACTTCCTCATATTTCTGCTCAAGATTTCGTTTACCAGATATCAATTTGTAGTTTAATTTTAATAAATTCAATTAATTTTTAATATGTTATATAAAAAAAATATGAGCCATTGATAGAAAATGATTTTACAAAACACATGATTATTAAAAATTAAGATCGGGTCAATATAAAAAAAAAATTAAAACGTTATATTATAGTCATAGAAGTAAAGTACTCCTAATTGTAGTTCCCAGATGCTTACCATACCCACAAATTTAATATAAAAAAGGGCAACTGACGATTGAGTAACCTATAAGCGTCAGTCCTACATATTTAGCAGTGTATAGTCACAGTTTAAATATAAGTAGACAGTGGTGAAACTGCCTACAAGCGCTCGAAATCGCACGCACACGTATGTATATATGTATATTTTTTGTTTGTTAATTAGTTATTATTATTCGTTTGATTAATCATGTCAGAACTCCTTTTATAATCCGCCGTTAAAAACAAAATGTCTGAAACATTAAAAATGACAACCCTATGGTTTCGTAGGTATTTATTTTTTTAAATAGGTTTAATTTCTATACTGTGTCATACTTATACTGTGGTAAAGTAACGAAATGTTATTTCTTGCTTGGGTCTCGAGTACACCTACATCACTTATATACCTACTGTCTGAGCTTATACTGTATATTTAGACTGTGGTAGTGTTACTCTACGATGTTCCTCCCACTCCAAACCTGACATATAATCTGTGAACCTGACGTAACGTTTGCACACAATTTGCAAAAGACTATATAATCTGTGTTTGCACTTGTGATATTAGGGATGTCGAAAATGAAAAAATATCGATATATTGATATTTATTAAAATATCAATATTAGCATCGATATATCAAAGAAAAATATCGGTACACCGATATATCGATTAAATCGCAATAAACATGAAAATATTTTACCAGTATTCGTTTTTATTAGACAAAATTACAAAAATATCAAGAATGTGTCATAGACAATATAGTTTTTTCGTTTGGTACTATCTTATTCAGTTTCGGGTTTCAGCAACTTCAGTGCCATAAGAATTAAAAAAAATATCGTTTTCTATACTTGATATTTCGTATCGATACATCGATACATCGCATCAATATTTATCGGTTAAAAATATCGATATATTGATTTTAAAATATCAATGTATCGATACTTTTTCTGCAAGCCTATGTGGTATTATTTCCAGTGTTGCCAACTTAGCTACTTTATAGCTAGATTTAGTAATTTTTTGATGTCAGGCAACTACATTTTTTTGAATTTCGTAGCTAAACCTTTTAGCAACATTTTCTAGCAACTTTCGGTTCAAATTATTTTTTTTCTCCATATCTTATTTCTTTATTCAACTTTTGGTCATCTGTAGATTCAGTTGGCTGTTCTTATAGATTGTTTCTTTTGGGTTCAACTAAGTACAGGAAAATATTCAATTGAAACTGGATTTCCCGTTTAAAAAAAAGAATACGGCCCAGGATTGGAATGGGAAAATATGACTGAGTTCAAAGGTTCTTTTTAAGTCCTTACTTGAAAAAATGGGTACTGTTGAAAAATATTCAAAATCAATTAGCGCTAATTCAGCTGCACCAGATTTATCATTACCTTCCCAGAGTTCACAACCTTCTACATCTTCCTCTAGTATTTAGTTGAGTATTGTGATTCTTTTTTAAATAGTCAATTGAGTAGGTATATAATACAAATATAGTATTAAGTACATACTATTATAGAAATAACACTGCTTTTGGAAATAATTTTAATAAGATGATTTGTGTTTTATTTTGTTATTTGTATTTTAAATGCAATAAATATTATAGTCTTTAATAAAACTTCGCCGTATGATTTCCAGTAATCGTGTAAAATGGTATTTAATTTCACGGAAAAATTTAGCTTTTTCTAGCTACTTTTCAAGTCGAAAAAATTACTCAATCTAGCAACTTATATAAATTCCTAGTAACAGGCCTTCGGTAGCAGTTGGCAACACTGATTATTTCTCTGATCCTATGATTTCTTGATGAAAAAAGTTCTACGTTCTTGGTACAATAAAGAGCTTATTTATAGAAAATTGATTTATAACTTTATCTTCAGGCAGTATTTAATATTAACTTACTTGTGTGTATACACAATAGACGTATGTCTATTTGTGATTTGAACAAACTATGTGACGCGATAATATCCAACAATTTTGGACTGTGACCAAAATTATCCTTAAAAAAATATCTCAAAAGGATGTGCGCTTTAGTACAGTAATCGATAAAAATAAACAAAATTCAAAATGTCAAGTAAGTACCTATCTATTTTTGCTGTTTGATAAAGTTGGCTTTTACATGATCTATTTTACCGATACCAAATACGGAGAATATATTTATGTAAAATAAATACTTAATTTGGTTTGTCATGCATATCTTTTGTAAATAAGCTGTTGCAAAATTCCTATAATGAAGAATTGAATTGAAATCAAAATAGAGATTCTTACAATAAAACTTTATTGTCTTTCTAAGTGCTCTCAGAATAATTTTATGATATCATTGTTGGTGCATTATCACCGTGATTCTCCAATTAGTTATCAATTTCGCTTGGAGTGCTACTTGTGAGTGTGATATTGTAAGTATTTCATGTTTTTATAACATGCTTAGATCGAAGAGACCGATCTCGCTCACCAATGAGAGTAGAGAGTGTGGGTAAGAGAAGAGATAATAAGCAGCTTGAAAATATGAAGCCAACAGACATGAACACAATGTTAAATCCTTTGATGATGCAGAACATGTATTCACAAGGTAAGCTGTAATAAAACGCAACGTTTAAAGTGTGTATAATATTTGTGTAACATGTTGCAAATATACCTTTCAAATAATATACTCACAGACGCAATTAACCGCCCACCTGTGTATCATTCATCACCCGTCAACTATGAATTATCAACTGTTTTATTTTTTGTTAATTGGGTACTCTAGCAGTAAATAAAATACTCACACCATTATTTTCTTTCCAAAATTTGTGTCAGCAAAGGTCTTTTAGAATTTAGTTGTTGTTTTATATTAATAATATTTTCTATTATTTTCTATCATGTGGGTGAATATTGTTTAATTTGAAATTATAATGTTTGCTCATTGTTTGAGATTGCAAAAGATGCCACTTGATGAAACTGATGTACTATTCCCCACATATTCCACGCTTATGTGTCTTAGCATAATCAGTTTAAGATCTAGCTTAGCTTTAGCTAAAGTCACTGCCCTAGGGTAGTGACTTTAGCTTATATTGTTTGTTAATAAGTGTGTGTACCTCAAACTACAGTATGAGATGCCATCAGATAATTTCGGGAGATAGGTTTATACCACTGCCAGGCAAGTCAAGGCTGACATCTATGTACTTCGACTCGAGATTACCATTTCGTTGTCACCAATGTGTCGAGAAATAAAAGGTCCAGATGGCCATTAACATCTCTATAGGCATCAAAAGGGGCCGTCCATAAATTATGTCACACAAAAAGCATGATTTTAAAAAGAATAATTTAATCGTTTGTTTATACAAATTCTACTAAATATTGTTCTAATGTCACAGTTCGACGAACTCGTGTGTTACCAAAGCAAGTAGTTAAGTTATAGTCCATACAAATTCCATAACAATATTATTTGCCATTAATTTCTATTCTTTGTCCTGAATTTTCTAACTTGACTTTGCTAGTACTGTTTTCGTAGATGTGTTTGATGATTCTGATGTATTTAGTGTTTATATTTTGATCATAAAGGGCATTCCAAATGCTTCGATGAGATATAGAGTCAAATGCCTTCTTATAGTCAATGAAAGCTAGATATAATAGTTATAATAGTTATAATATAATAGTTATATAATAGTTATATAATATAATAGTTATATAGAGGAGTTAGACAAGGCGATCCACTGTCACCTAAATTATTCATATCAGTCCTCCAAAACACAATGAAAAATCTATCTTGGGAAAACAAAGGCTTAAAAATCGACAGGGAACGTCTTCACCATCTGTGTTTCGCAGACGACATTGTGCTTTTCTCAGAAAGCCCCACAGAGCTCCAATCCATGATGTCAGAACTTAACAACACAAGCACGAGCGTGGGCCTAGAAATGAATATCTCAAAAACAAAAATCATGTCTAATCATCACAGAACTCCTGTTCTTATAAACAATAATGTGGTTGAGTATGTAGACGAATATATTTATCTAGGCAAACAAGTTTCCTTTCGCAAAAATAACAACAGAGAAGAAATAGACAGGCGAATAGCAATCACGTGGAGAAAGTTCTGGAGCTACAAAGAAGTTATGAAGTCTAACATGGACTTAAAATTAAAAAAGAAAGTAATGGACTCATATCTCTTGCCCTGTCTCGCTTATGGATGTCAAACGTGGATATTTGATAACATAACCAGAAGAAAACTCACATCATGTTAAAGAGGCTTAGAACGTAGTTCACTAAACATCAAGCTAAAGGACAGGGTTCGCCATGGGAAAATAAGAAAGCAGACTGGTGTGATAGATGTCTTGTCCTTCGCTCGTGGCCTGAAATGGAGGTGGGCGGGCCATGTGGCACGCTACACTGATAAGAGGTGGACAAAGACTGTGACTATGTGGAGTGGTCCCCATGGATATAGAAGCAGAGGCCGACCAAAAGCGAGATGGAAGGACGAAATAGAATCATTCGGTACAAGAAATTGGCCAATTCTGGCAAAAAACCGTGTTAAGTGGCAATCTCTGGAGGAGGCCTTCACCCGTAGAGGGGTCCAGGTGGCATTAGACTAGAGGATACTTAACGATAACCTACTAACATGTACTGTACACATGCCAAATGGAATAATAAAGGCTTTTTTATTTTATTTATTTATTTATTATTATTTGCCATTTCGCGCGCTGTTGCTATTCAAATTTCGAACTAATCGCCGCGCGGCGCCAATCAGTAGGCAGCGCTAGCGCGCTGTTAAAATAACGGGAAAGCAACAGTGGACATTCACAGATTGAGTTTATTTAATGATATTTTCTGTTTCCTCGCAAATGTGTTAAAAAACATCGTACGATATACGTGCATATTGGTTATATATAACATGCTCGTTTCAATTAGACCCTCGCCTTCGGCTCGGGCTGAAATTCCGTCTCGCATGTTGTAACCATCATAACGCACTATATCGTAATGTACTATTACATTCCTTGAAAAAAATATAAGGTGAGCGGTTAATTGTGAGACTATAATAGTAAACATAATTTTATATAACATAATGTTTTAAGCATGTATCAATAAGGTTGATTTCAGAAAATCTTAAACTGATTGCATAATAGCAAGATGAGAAGTAGGTAATATGAGAATATTAAATTGAATATTTTTTATGGATATATTAATTTCCTTAGGCAATATGATGATGGCTGGGGGTATGTATCCAAACATGCTCATGCCCAGCATGATGAGTGGAGGAATGATGCCTTCAGCTGGAATGGAAATGATGTCAAGTGCTGGAATAGAAATGATGCCACAAGCCTCTATAGATATTTCATCAATGGGAGGTGCTATGGGTGCACAGTCTATGGCTCCAACTGCCGCATCTATGGACATGTCAATGATGAGTGGTATGGTCATGGATCCATCTATGATGCAAATGTATTCAGGTATCAGCAATGACATGACCAGTGCCCAAGAGAAAAAGGAGATATTACTGAAACATTGTAAGTTGATTCCTCCAGCAATGGGAACACCTCAACCACCTCGAAGAGCTCGTCCTCCAGGCTGTAGGACAATTTTTGTAGGAGGCCTACCTGAAAAGATAAGAGAAAGTACTGTAAGGGATATATTTGAACCCTATGGAAGAATACACACTTTACGTTTGTCCAAAAAAGACTTCTGTCACATAAGATTTGATAGAGAAAATTCAGTTGATGCTGCCATGCAGTTATCTGGATATCGTATTAAACTTATTAACAAGGATAAAGACAAAGATGGCGAGGATGATGAAGATTCAAAAGCAACATCAGGTTGGCTTCATGTGGACTATGCCTTGGTAAGTGATGTCAACAATTATTTAATTATCAGTTACACTATTTATTTTGTAGTTATTTTACTTTTAATATTTGTTATGATCTAGAGCAGAGATGATCAAAATGAATATGAGAGGAAGCAGCGTCAAGCATTGCGTGTCCAACAAGCGCAGATGCAGCAACTATCTGCACAACAGGAGCTAGTACGCAGCAATACAAGTTCTTCATACCGAAGATCACCATCTCCTATGAGAATTCAACCATTTTCAAATGCCGCTATACTACAACTTGTTGAGAAAATTAAGAGTGAAGAACAATTTGCAAACACACTGCCAGTATGTAAACTCATGAAATGTCTAAAAATTAGATTATCTTTACTATAATTTAACATACATGTTTTATTATTACAGACTTTAATTGCATGGTTGGAGAGGGGTGAATGCTCTAAGAAGAATTCTAACCAATTTTATTCTATGATACAAGCAACAAATTCACACATACGGAGATTATTCAGTGAAAAAATGCAAGCTGAAGAGGAACTGCATGAATGCAAGGAGCGAGTCAAAAAGAATATTGAAAAAGTTTTTGAACAACGTGAGTACATTATCATAGTTCCAGAATATTATATTGGCCTGAATATCTTAGAAGGTCAAATTAATAAGTCTTCAAGGTAAGATAAAAGTCACTCATTTTCAATGGAAAACATTAAGTATGAACACGAGATGCTCTTCATATTATGGTATAAGAGATGATTATTATTGTAAATATCAATTCTGTATATGAACAACAATGAGAAAGCTACAACACTTTTAATATAAAGTCAACTTGTTTTGTATTAAGTTCTCATTAAAGACATTATCACTCTGGTCACTATGCAATTTTTATGGGTCTTCATTGCTGCTTCGCTGTACAACTCATCGGGACTTGCCCTATGATATTCCTGCTAATATGATGGGGCTTATTGTGTAAGTTGCTGATGCCCTGAGAATAATATTTGCTTTAAAACTTGCAATCTAATGCAAAATTTATAGAAAAGGTAAATAATATTCTCCGAATTTTCTCTGTGTTTGTGCCATAGTCACATTGTTGCTGTAGGATGACAATAGATTCGATTTTTCATTACGCCTTGTTCAATATAAGACAACTTTTAATTACTAGAGTTGTCAAATTTACTCATATGTTTTTTACTGATTGTTTGGTATTATGCTTATGATGAGTCTATGGTGCGAACACATCGTCATGTGCCCTTTGGCACGTCTCTGTACTGAGGTTCTGCGCGACAAATCTATCGACTCATTGCCCCCGGTATCTAGGTAGACATAGTACCGGTGCAAACACCTTGGAAGCGACACTCTACATTGTTTTGAACGGGGACGCCTGGTCGTGATTTTATTGCGGTATGTTTGGTCTCGCGGTCTCTGGCGACCCTCTTAACATAATTTGTAAACCTCAGTCGAGCAGGTGGCGAAAGTGTTTACAGCAGCCGCCCATCAACGCGTTTGGGATCACTTCACTAAACCTCAAAGGAAGAACATAGAGACTTGGCAGAAAATGACACAGGTACTACTGAGATTCTCGTATTCATTTAATTTAGTTTAACGTTGATTCAGTTTAGACACGTACTTCCATATACATACAAAACTGAAGCATTAATACTACAAAAAAAACATGCTTAGTTACAATTTAAAATGATGTTGGGCAGGAGCAGAAGACAGCTGTTTCAGGTAAAATTTGCTCAGTGCATTATTGCAGGTAACTTATGCATAAAAACTAACAATATGTTTAATTAAATGTCCCCAAATGTGAATTGTAATATTTGATTTTTTAATAAATGTTTGTTTTGCAGGACTTCAATACATTGAAGGAAGAATTTAATGAGAAGTTTTTCAGTGATGAAAATGAATACAACGGTTACAATAATAAACCTTTAGAAATTGGCAACACTGTCAATAATGATGATTATATGCAACTTAAGGTAAGTCTAAATGTTACTGTATGCTGTCACGTGTTCATGAATTACTCGAATTTTATTGACGAAATTTAAATTCGTGATTATTTATTACAGATTGAGAATGATAGTCTGAAATTTCAATTAGAGGCATACAAAAATGAAGTGGAAGTAATCAAGGCTGACGCTAAAAAGGAAATGGAGAAATTCAAAGCGCAATTCATTGCAAGACAAGCTTTGCAAGGAGCAATGGACACAAAAAATGTAATTTTACTTATTATCTCTTTAACAATACTTACGAGAATTTTGTGTTTTTACTTTACCCCTTACAAATTTGTTGAATCTTTAAAATTACGTTGTAGAATTTACTTCAGTGCCAATTCTATTCAAAAATAAAAAAATCAAACCATGATTACATACACTACGGCGTGTGTAAATAGTGTAGTTAAGAATTTTGAAGAGCGATTTGTTTGAAAAAAATTTCAGCCTCCATTGCCGTCACCAGTAGCGAAGCCCCCTCCTCCCCCGCCTCTACCTGAAGATTTGGACTCGAAGGTCCACTTGAAGGAGGCTGTGGAAGCTGGCTGTGGTGAAGCGAAACTTATAGGCGTCATGTCCGCGTTTTTACAGGTATAATAAATATCATAATTAGGTACAGCGTTTATCGCAAAGAGTTATAATGAGCTCAACAGTAAATGTTTTCAAAAATGCAGCGATTATGTATTTATTTAATAAAATTACACTTTTTCTAAATATCAATACAAAAAATGTTACTAATAATATATTATACTATTTAAAATATTATACGATTCTATAGAGTTTAAATGATCCGGTAGTTTATAGAAATTATTTTATCTTTGAGCTAGTATTATCATATAATTATTACTTTATTATATAATTATTTCGGCTCTAGGTTCATCCCCATGGCGCCAGTCTCGACTATGTGGTGTCGTATGTACGTGCTTTATTTCCTCACGCGTCACAAGCGACTATACATCACGTGCTCCAAAAGCATCCTGACGTTTTCCAACGCACCACATCCGGAGTAGGTGCCAATATAGAACATAAGTGGTCCTTTGTGGGCTTTAATGAGGAAGATAATGAAAAAGTATAATATACTGAAAAGATACATATCGAAGATGTAAAATATACTAACCAACATGACAGTAATGTTATTGATGAAATTTATCAATACTAATGTACACTTGTGGTGAGCATTTATAAAGAATAATATGAGTCTGTGAATAAGAGTTGGAAGTATGGTAAAGTAACAGATTGTGGTATAAATGTTAATGAATAGAATGTCAATTTTTGATACTCTTAATAATCCTTACGGAGGTAAGGTTGATGTCTTCACCATACAATTTAAATAATCATTATAAAGAAAAAATTAAGGCTGTGGGAATTGGCCACTATGGACTTTAATGGAAATGGCCAACATTCAACAACGAGGGAAGATTTAGGAATCATAAATTGGCAAAAATAATACTTTAGTATTATTATTAGCTGAATTGTGACATAGGGAACAGTATTTTTTGATGTGGGACCTACTGGTAGTATAAGTTCATAATTATCTGTGAGAACAAATCGTGTTGCAACTTATCAAATAACATTTTAAGTTCTTTTTTATCAACATGGATGTATGTGGTAACTGATTGTTTTATTTCAATTCCGTTTTTTTTATTTTATTTTAAAAAAGGCTTACCAACTAAATACATAAAAGACATACTATTCACTACATATCAATAATTTATATCATATATGTACTTAAATTATAGGTATGCACAACATTCTAATACATATAATACAATTTCAAGAAAACAATGAGAAAACTATGAATTAAAAACTAAAAATACTCCTTACAACCTTGCAAAATAGTCTTTTTGAAATTAGCTAGACCCCCGCAAAAAATGTCTATATCAGTACTCTTAAATATGTGATTAAATTTAGCCAACATTGAACAAATAGGTGAGGAACTGCCATAATTGTTTTTTCTTAAATTAATAGAAAAGGGTTTATAATTGTGTAGTCGAGCCGCAACTCTAGGAACTAATATATTAATTTGTGTTAAGAGAGACGGAACATCCACTCCATGGTTTAGTAATTTGTATACAAAAAATAGTGACAGCTGTTCTTTACGTTGCCGTAAAGAAAGCATATTGAACTGATCCAACCTCTCAGAATAGCCTCTGACGCTACGGTAAGTGCCACTGATGAACGAAATTCTGTTAACAAACTTCTTTTGAATTCTTTCTATACGTTGAATACTGTTTTGATAATAGGGATACCAAACAAAAACACAGTAATCCACGTGACTACGAACCAAAGCAAAGTACAAAGCCTTTAGCGCATGAACAGATTTAAATTCCCTAGTACTCCTAAAAAGAAACGCTAACATTCTAAGACATTTATTAATCGTGTTATTAATATGGATTGTGAACTTCAATTCAGAATCGAGAGCAACACCCAAGTCTCGAACCTGATTGACTTCTTTCAAAATCGTTCCATGAATGTGGTAACAGCTAGGAAACTTGTAATGTTTTCGAGAAAATTTAATGTGACAACACTTGTCCGCGTTTAGAGCCATACCATTCAATTTGCACCATTCCGCAACCCTGTCTAGATCCTCCTGTAGCTTCATCTGATCGTCACTGTTGATTACTGTTCTGGATAGTTTTAGATCGTCTGCATATAATTCAAATTCAGAGTTAACAATGCAACACTTTATGTCGTCTTTATGTCGTTTTGTAGGTGATGTTTTTTCCCAGCGAATATTTAAGTTTAAAACTCTAATAATATAAATCAGGGTTCTAAAATTATTCGAACACATTTCAATTTAGATAACCAGACAACCTGATTCTCTAACCACGGGATTAGACATCTTAACGATATTATGGTGATTAATGTCACTACTTTAAATGTACTTTAATAACGACAAACGATAAAGATTGATGATTTGACAAAATAGTCGTTTATGCATCAAAACTTACGTCAAATTAGGAAAATAAAAAGAAATATCGTCATATCGTGTCGTGTCATATGGCTATAGAATTAGGCGGCCGCAAACATTTATCAACACCTGGCCTAATAAAAAATCTCATTATAGAACGAATTATGTATATACCACTCGTGTACCACTTCTATACTAATATTATAAAAAGGGAAGATTTGATTGTTTGTTTGTTTTTGGATCGATTAGGCTCCGAAACTATTGGACATATTTTAAAAATTCTTTCATATACAGAAAACTACATTATATGCGGTAAAAATGCGGCTTTATTCACGAATCTTGAAAAACAGCAAACAGGGATGAAAATGGGAGTGGAAGTTTGTATAGGGAATTAAAACGTTACCATAGTAACCATTGTTTACTATTCAATTTTTCATCGTAATTATATTCACGTCATGTTAATAATTGATATCTAAGTACAGTTACCTAGGGGCCATACCGGCGAAGCCGGAAAGTTAGTTATTCTATAAATGTTAAGTTTGCGAATGTTTTTGTTGCGTTTGCAAGTCGTTGATCATTTGCATGTATTCCGCCGTCGCTTCTTCAAGGTCTCTGTCGCTTGCTGCGGTATCGTTATCCGTTCCCTGTTGGCCGCAGTGTTCTTGTCGCATTTTCAGGCGCATTTCCCTCATGCGAGCTTCAAGTATGCGTTCCCGTTTGTTTTCACGATCTAGAATCTGTACATAGAAAATATTTCCATATGAACACTAGTAAATGCAATAATTGCGAAGGAGCAGTTTCACCGCATTTGAGTGTGTATGATAATCGTCGCTCCTGATTATATATGGAAAATTTCGACTCGTATTTAGAATTTTGCTTAAATCATATTCGTGAAGATGATCTGTGTATCAGAGGCAGTGTGAAGTTCTACCTCCTATACATCATAAATTATCGAAAAATGCATTTCTTGGAGTCTTATTAGCAATAGTTGTCGTGTTAATACTCCCTAGTAGTATGTATCCTTTGGATATGTGCATAGGGAAGAGCTCTAACCTGACATTCGTTTGCTTTATTTTGTTGATATCTACTGTAATTTGAAAGGCTGGTTGTCTATACTTACCTGAGTAAGGAGTTGTTTGTCATTTTTATCTGCCGTACCTAAGTTTTGCGACAGTTCGGCTAAGTATACAGTACCTTTGCTGCTGCCACAAGCCACAAGTTGACCCTAAAAAAACATATAAATATGATTAGAATAATCATCATTCATCATCATTTTCTTCAATAAAAATAAAATTATGATTTTTTTAAGCAAAATAGTAACCGCTTCATGAGGTCGTAATCTTAATAAAGGCTCGTCGCAAAGTTGTGCAGTAATTATTGGAGCACTTCTTCTTCGCAACAGATCCCAACACGACAGGCACCCATCCCATTGAGTTATGAGCATACATGAAAATCTGTAAATCGAGAAAGAAGTTAAGGATATTCTTAAAATATAAATTATTTGATGTGTTAACACACTAATGGTCGACTGTGGGAATGGGTGTTATGGGTTTTTAGGCACTAATAGTCCTGAGGTTATAATACGAAAAGGTTCTAATAAAAATCCTCTTCCAAAAGTAGTTGATTTCTACTGGATGGCATATGGTTATGGCATGTGTGATCCAGCAAAAATGTTTATGGATAATGGTGTCGGAACGTTTGTCTCGGCTACATTAAATCTATGGCTACATCGGTGATCGTTATCTTACCAATACACATGAGTCCAACGGCGCAGATTTCGTTTGCCCTGTTTTTAATTAAGGGATTTATCCCAGTATTAGAGGCGTTATTAGTCTGATGCTGACATCACGCATATATAAGTAAATGTCCCTCTTAGCTATGACTATGCCTTCAATAGCTTGTTTTAATGTCTCATCTGTGACTACAAATGCTTATTTGAAATATACCTGACGGGATTCCACGCACCATCGGTGAGTTTAGTACGGTGCGAGTAAGTCCACAAAATGGCAGACTCCCGGCAATCTTCACTCCACACCCTGGCAGTCCAATCTCCGACAGTGAGAAAGTTCTTGAGGAACGTGGGATTCCTTTGTAGGGAGTATACAGGCCCAAGATGTGCTTCATACTGATAACAGTGTTTAGAAAGATTATTTTATTTATCTTATTTTGGTACAATAAGAGCAATAACATTTTTAGTTAGTCAGTATTTACATAAAACTTTATGTCCTGTTTGTAAATGTTTATTAACCTTAGAAGGAAGCTTTTCTACAGCATTTTTTCCTTTGCGATTTCCTCCAATCACAAGCCCAGTTTCAGTTCCAACCATGAATCTGTGGAAAGAATACTAAATCATATTGATAAAATTACGCTTATCAAATAATTAAGGCAGATTTTCAATGTACCTGGTTGGAATGGTTGCTTCATATTCTAGAGCAGATATTCCAATCGCTTTGTCGATGCTTGGAGTGTCCGTTGGATTTTTTACGATGTCAATGATCATGGAATCGGTTGGTTCATTCATGTTTCGGGTATCCCACCTAAATGAGGTAGGGTGGCAAATTAAAACTAACTAGGACTCAAGATGAGCCAAAATTAGTAAAGTCACAATGTTGTAATTAATAATTAACAAATTTCAGGTTCCTAAAGGATCAATACTATCTTTGTTTATTTTTTAACAGTGCCGTTTGTTAAATGCTGACTGTTTAGTTGTTACACATAAAGGGTAAATTAAGCAGACTTACGTCTATGACAGAGGGCACTCCAGGTGCTACAGTCTCGACAAAGTTTACGTTCGCAAACTTACCGCATTCGGTCGCCTATTCAAAGCTAAGTTAACGGTTATTGCAAGTCTACGGTTACATCTGTTGTTCTTTGTTAGACTCGTAGTACCAATAGGGAATATGCGTCTGATTCAAAAAAGAGTTAAATATATTTTATTACAATCGTTATTGCTTTAGAATAAAGTCTATCTAAATATTTTTCAACATCAGTTCGTTTTCGTCTAGAAAATAATTATTAAAAAGTGCAAAATAAATGCGGTAACTTTAAAATATTAAAACGCCATGCTACTTCTCAAAGCGGATGTGACGAAAATGTACACGTATAGGGATGTCGTTGTTACAAAAAGTTAACATCGATGCAATAACATCAATGTAATATGTCGCATAATAAACAAATGATTACATTTTAGATGATATTTTAGGCTTTTATTTTTATTTCACCAATTTGGTAAATTATATTCTTTATTAAAAAAGTCTATTATTCTTTAAAAAATCGATTAATTGTTAATTGATTTGGGTAATTGAATAATAATCAATCACTCAAAATCCATATTGATTTAAAGTGTCATATCTCTGGTCGTGTATTTTGACGTCACGACGAGCGCGCCAAAAATTCCGGTGTTTAAATTGTTCGTAGCTATTACTTATTTTCATCAATGATTATTGTTACAAAATTTTAGTTTTTCGGTGCCGGGTATTTTTTTACAGTTATATATCGATGTAAATTATCGTATAAAAACATTTTCCAAAAATGTGAATATTCCCTATTGCAACTGTCAAACTAGCGATATTCGATAGTGAACTAAGCGATCGCTATAAATGTCAAGACTGCATGCCCAGCAGTGACGGTCTATTCATTAAAATAAGAAGGAGCTATGTGTGCTAACAGTCGGTTTTAGAAACCTACCATTTCACCACGCCGTCTGGTGAAGACGAGAAGAATTCAGCCCCTATTTTCGTGTTAATAAAAAGGACATTCCTGACGAGGTCCCTATGAGCACTGTGGGGTGCACAAATACCAACTGGATCACTTCCTTTGCGCATATCCCACCAGCCAACCTAAAATAACACCTATAGCGATGTCGATAAAATTTCAAATTAAAATAATGAAAATGTTGTATTTATGCAAGTTGCTAGCATTTTTAGAGTATTTATTACATTGGTAATATATTCTCAGAGAACAGTAATTTCGAACCTGCCCGTTGTACATGCCTCCAATAAGTATATTCTGGTCTCGTGGATTGTACTGTAAATCTAATAATGGTTGGGGCGGTCTAATTACCATTTCTGGTGCGTTTGCATTTTCTGTAAGATTTGAATTTATTTATTAGAAAAAAAAGTGTGGTTTATTTATAAATTTTATTTGATTAGATGAATGATATTGACCTATATCCCAAATGTAAGAGAATTGCGAATTCCTATTACTCCTCGTGAGGTCCACATCGGCATGTGCAGAAGCTAATTTGGCCCCGCCATCTGCCTGCCAAGACAGCGACCGCACGGGTCTTCTGACCCCAGGCTCTCTGTACACATTGACTGTTTGGCAACTACTTCGCTCTACAGGCGCTATGGTAGGAAGCTCAGAATAGTATATTTGATACATATCCAGAGCGTTGTTTTGAAGAATGTTGTGTTCCATGCTCTGGAACAGATACATATCTACAGTAATATTATATAAACGTAACATGTGGCAGAAATACAATTATACAATATTTTCCTCGAATAATAAAAATTAAGCAAAATCATAGCACTCACATTTCCTAAATGCATTACGGCGTGAATATATGCATCATCTTTCTCAATTTTACGGCGATATCTTTGTGTGGCTTCAGGGTCAGCCATGTTGATATCCTTTGGCCAACCTCCTTCGATATGGTTCACTCCAGAACACGAGTACTCTGCCCTAATAAGCAAGCCATTTTACCTATTTTATTTAATCTTGAATATAATTTAATCAAATTCGCTAGAATATTGGCGTTGTAAAAAAAATCGCATGTATTGTTATGTATATTTGGTATCTATGGTATGTCTGTATTTGTTATAAGAAATGGATTAAGACTGACCTTTCAGAATTCACCCAATGTTCAGAGAAAGACTTGGTATGTTGAACGGCAGTGTGCACTGGATTACGGAGAACATAATTCTTATAAATACCAGGATTGCTGGGTATGCTAGCGCGAATCTCTGGGCCATGGTCTTCGAATAATGTCTGCTTGCCGAATTCCTTCCTACGTTTCGCGTATTCGTATGTGAGTTCAATTTTCTCTTGCTTTTCCATGGTTAAAATGGAACGAGAAATTGTGGGTAGTAACGATTGTGTGATCAATAATCCCGTTGCAACTACGGTTAGTTACCAAGTATTGCGTAGTGTAACATTTAGATCTGATGAACTTTAGACATTTTTATTACTCTGTAATTTATTTAAATTTAAAGTAATTTTATCTTTGAATTCAAGTCTCGGGGAACGCTAATTAAGTACAACTATGATATAAGAAATTATTTTATTATAATCATAACATCTCTAATTCCTTCCCTTTTTTATACATAACATTTAAATGAAACTTGAAATCATTTAACTAATGTGAAATAAAAAATGAATAACTGGAGTGTACAAGAAATATTCAGTTCACTTTTCTATTAATATTGCGTGTTATGTTAATATAATGGTATAGGATCAGCGGGTGAGGCTCGACGTAGGGTCAATACTAGTAGTCTTGGAGAAGTTCCCGCTAGTTTTGCACTGCACTGTTCCAACAGCACCCTCCATCGAACCGCTGCACGGGTCTCTGGTGACATCGCTTTCAATTCCACAGCCTTTAGAAAACGTTAATTAGTTTTTAGAATGTATAACAATCTTTACAAATAATTTTATGATGTTTAGAAACAATTCCACTGCTTGAAATCAGTAGTTATAAACGTTTAAAAGTGGTCTCATAAAGAAATAATTATTGATTTCTATCAGATTTTTCAGTAAAATGAATAGGATTCTATGTAGATTTCATGTAATACAAAAGATATTGAAAAAGTCGTATTACGGTTACTTACGGTACATCCAAGAGCATCTTCTAAAACGTTTATAGGAATGCGAGCATTCAATTCACCAGTATGATCAGCAAAACGTACTCGCAGTTCCTCGTTTTGGTCCCTATTTTTATTGAGTAACTATAATATTTTATAAATATACTTATTGGTAATAATTTGAACGTTATAAATTAATCGAGCAGAAAATTTGGCATGGATGGAGTTACTTTGGATACGGGAAGAGAATTGGAAGATTACGTAGACTATGTGTACCAACTCGTTAACATAACACTTTACAGTCAAAAGCGTTCTATGTGTAGGTAAGTTTTATATTTTCTGGATATTAGGTATTTTTAATTCTTCCCTACCCTTGACGCGAATTTTGGACTTCCTCACTTGTTTCTACATTTTTTCAATCGCCAACACAAAATCTTTAAACTTTTACATGGATACTTTTTCAGGTTAAATCTTTCTCATCTTTTTACGTATGCAGTGTGGTCTATAATGATGATGATCCGCTCACGTGATATTGTCCACTTCATCTAAGTCTAGATGGGTTAGTAGCCCGTGCACCGAAGCACAGAACGGCGCGCCAGTAGCGAGACGATCCTTCACTTGAGCTACGGACGCTGCACTGGCACGCTCGCCGCTCCAACTAGCCCAAGCGGCTGCTTCTCCACCTCCTGCATGTCGGTTATACGTTAACGCGTTCACTAGTGTTAAGAATTTGCAGTAGGGCTTCCAATCCCGCAGCCTGTATTCAATCTTGGTTTTTGCGGGACTAGTCATTTTCAATCCTGCGGGATCTCGGTATTTGCGGATATCGCTTATAGTAAATATCATTATTTATTAATGGCAAAAAAAAATGAATTAGTACATCACAACAACAAAATTGTTCATCTATAAAATAATATTTTTATAAACTAAATTAATAATAAATCTTTTATTATAGCTTAAATTATTTAGTTTTCTCATTCTTGTCAGTTTATGATTATACTTAAAAATATGAGTTCAGTCAGAAGCCTAGTTTATTTTTGGTATTTTTTAAAACTGACATGAAAAATTAATTTATCCCAAACACGAGGGCCCATAGCATTTGCTACTATATGTGGCTATTCCGGCCCTGCGCCGATCCCGCACCCATAATCTCGCGACACAGGATAGGGAAAAAAGAGGCGGGATCTCGCAATACCGAGATCCCAGTATTCCGAGATTGGAAGCCCTAATTTGAAGTTCTCGATAGTTACCGATGGGGGCGCTCTGTACCAGATTTCATACTAATATAGTAACGTTCTCGCGATCGACGGTGAACGTAAACGTCAAAAAAATGTACACTAAGCGCTCTGTAATGGTTACAGTTTTACAGATTTCGGGATATTTTGAGATTCAGCGAAAAGTTTTGGGTATAAATAAAAAAATGTAATGCAGTAAGTAAGTAATTGGTAATGAAAGAAAAACCCAAAAAACTACACAATGAAATAAACACTTGAGTCGTACCTATCATACGCGTTGCCGCTACCCGACTTTGGCCCTTTTGTGTATTATAAATGCGCCCATGGTTAAGAGAGGCCTCTTAATAGGCTTAAATAATTTTTATTGCTACAACGTTTCGTGGTGAATGGTTACGTGTAAGTATCTTAGCCTAGGTACTTGATGCAGTCGTCATTCAAAGATAATAATGAAGGATTCCCATTTAAAATTCAAGTTCCGTTTGAAAAATACAATCATACCTATAACTGATGGAAATTTGGGCGAATACTTAGTCTCTTCATGACGAGTCAGTACGAGGTACATAACTTACGTATAAGAGTTAGGCGTTTAAAAAGTAAACAATATACTTACGTGTGTTAGCTTGATTCCGTATGTAAAGTCGCAAAGCTTCGGCATCTGCAGTATGAGGCTGATGTGTAACTATAGTCTTCGAACACACTTGAGTGTTTACTCCACGTCGCCATGATACTCTTGCATCCGCTACAAATAACACGCTTTCTAGCGGCCGCCAGTTTTCTGCTCTGTATTTTTTATATTTTTTATTTAATTGCTTGTCTTGGAAAGCAACCGCCAAACTCTCTTGCTATAACTCTAGCCATAACACGAATACCTTTTATTGATTTATTAAATATATAAATAATAAAAAACAGATTCATTGACAAAAACAAGAAAAAGTTTAATAGTTAAGTATAGCTTGAATCAAGGCTAAAGAGTTAGGCAGTCGCTCCATAAATGTGATGTTGAAAATAATTGTAATTTAAAAATCCTATTAGTAGGTATCTTTTTTATTTATATGCTTTGAGGTGGCTTTGGGGTGGGTATCCGTCTTGACGGGCTTGACGGATCATCGGTTTTCTTTGGGATTTATTTAAGAGGGTGTGTACACCCAAAACAACTTATTTTCAACTGATTTTGTACAAATAAATATCGTCAAAAATAATTTTTATTTTTTTCTCAATAGAAAAGAATTGCCTCTAATGTTCACCATTTTTTTCTTACAGTTATAATAAATACCATTTTACAGGGAAAATTGATAATTAAGTAAGGGATTTTCTATTTAATTTTTTTATTAAAACAGCTGCATTTTGTACCTCTGTATAATGTCGATATCAAACAAATCCAGATTGATTGAAGCCGGTGTAGTGTTATCCATGATCTCAACACTCCGTATTGTCATGTCCACACCTAGTAAAATAAGTGAAATATTCCATATATTATATGGAATACCATATAAGATATGGAATATTTAACTTTTTAATTTTTGAAAATAAGTATATGTTTTGTTTGCTAACTAAAGTAACGTAACTATTTCTAGTAAAGGGGCGCGACCGCTTACCTCTCTAACCATAACTATAGCCGTAGGATACGACATATTAGATAGATTATGGTGATATTTCATTACATTTTACACCTTATGATTATGGATTTGATAACAGAGTATTACTAATTTATCAATTTATCCCAAATTTGAGTTAGACTCTTAAATTTAAATTATGTTTGAAATAGTAAAATTAAACGAAATATCGCCATAATATCTCTTAGATGTCCTATCCTATGGCTAGAGAGTTAGGTTGTCGTACCCCAGGTGATAAAAGCGGACGATGATACAAAGCATCATATAAAGTCATGTGGGTTGAGTGCGAATAGAGTAATAAAAAAAAAGTGTAAACACGGGAGTACCCAAGAAAATTTAATATTTTGACAATTTATAATATTCTCGGGAGTGTCAATACCGTTTCTCATTGTCTCACATTTCTTTATTTCTGAGCGTTTTCTAATTTTCAGAGATTTAAACAACGTGTGCATTCGCGCCCCACCCCACATGACTGCGTAGAAATAAAACGATTTTATGTATCGCTATCCATAGACGTTTGGTTCGTTTCCGTTTCGCGAAGTACCTACAGCATAATGAAAGTTCTATTGTTATATTTATTAAAGGCGCAAATTTAAATTGATAGGTTTCAAAGGAAAATAATAATAATAATAAATATTCTTTATTGCGCAATAGAAAAACAATAGAAAATATATTATGATTCGAAAAGTAATCCCGGTTGCTTTAATGATCCTTACCAGTTTTGGTTGTGATGGTTTTGACTGGTTTCACGCATTTCACCACCACCAGAAGATCTACATAAACATTACTGGCCTCTGAAATTTTGTGTTGTTTTTATCGAGTAGTAGCTACTATTACTGTTGTAAACTTTATGTTAAGGCAATTATTAGGTACAGTCAATAGCACGTCCGATTACACAAACTGTCAAATTTCTACACTTGATTTTAAACCTTTGTAGTAAAATTGGTGTAGTACTGTAGATAGTGTACAAAATCGCTTGTATAAATTTGACATATTGTTGTGACGTTGAGTCAGAATTGTTTTAATTTTGTCACCTTTGAGTTTAAGTACTTCAGCGATGCCATAATAACCTGCCGAAGGTTTGGTGGGTATGTGTAGTAAAGGTAAGTACAAACTGAATGTGTCTCCGCTGTGAATAGTCACATCAGATAGCCCTTCATTCAGTGATAGATAAAACGGTGATGATACCTTAAGAGAAAAAATATAAATACTCTTTATTGCACAAAAAACAAAGTTAACATTACAATAGTAGGTAAATCATATAAAAAATCAATAAAAAAATAAAAATACATAAATAAACAATATTATATAATACATATATAAAAAAAATAATGATTACAAAAACTATAAATACGAACATTATGCTAGAAAGTGCTCCTTGAGTTTAGTTTTGAAAGGTATGATAGAGGGGCAGTCTTGAATATCTAATGGGAGTTTGTTCCATAGTCTAATAGCCCGTACAGAAAAGGAGTTGAAGAGAAAATTGGTGTTACTTTAAGGCAGCTTCAAAGTTTTGGTAACACAGTACCGCCGGGGACGGGATGGGGCAGGAAACTTCTAGAAACGGGAATTCAGGTATGCGGCTGAATTAGGATCTTTAAGAATTTTGAAAAGAAATGAAAGGATGTGCATATCACGGCGAAGACGGATAGGAAGCCAGTTAAGTTGAGCTCGAAAAGCTGAGACATGATCTTATTTACGCAGTCCAAAAATGAACCGAATTGCGAGGTTTTGAAGGCGCTCTAGCTTATTTAGTTGATCTTCATTCATATCCAAGTAGTAAATATCAGCGTATCATATAAACTGTATAAAGTATTTAAATTTTGTTTTTTTTTTTTATTCTATCATAGGTATAATAAGTCCATGATTCTACAAAATGTTTGTATTTAATACTAACAGGTTATTTATTTCAATTTTCAATTCTTAATGAAGAAGACGTGGTTCATCTTTCTTTATTTTCCAGAACTAAAAGCAAGTGAAAAGCAAATCATATAAACTTACCTGTGGTCGATACACCTCATTTTCTCCATTTTTTATACAAATTTTCGGGGAAGAAATTTCAACTGAAAAATATCAAACTATTTATTTACTATGCTTCAGCCTATTTATGTCCATCCCTACTGCTGAAGCATAAGCCTTACGAAACGAAATTAATAGGGAGAATGGGCCACCACGCGGGAACAGAACGGATTGGTTGGCGTTAATCACTGCAGATGCAGCCGAGACTAAATGTTTGTGCTTATTATGTTACCAGTCCTTACGAAAGTTGTTTAACTTCTGCATCGCAGACGGAATGCGCTATCAAGTTCCTGTCAGTTTTATTCTCTATTTTATGTAGTTTTATAATATCTGTTTTACTAAATAAGTACTTTTTAAAATTATTTTACTATCTCATATATTACCTACGTCCCCTACTAGAAATCTTTCGTAAAATGTTAAAACGAAGTATTGTGAACCCCAAACGTCGACGTTTATAGTATCGATGTTGGAATCTCTCAATGTAAAAGTGGTAACTCCTTTAGAATCTCCATTTTTCTTCTTTATACCAACTGTACGTGGACTGTTTTTCGCTATTATTATTCCAATTATCAAAGCGTTTCTGATATTGATGTTCAAATTATTTAGCCGAACTTTTTGAATTCCCGCCATCTTCATGGTTAATAATATATTTTTTACTGACTCTATGGTTATTTGTTATCAATTAAAGCATGGGGATCTTAGTGTATAACCTAGTCTTCGCTTCGGTTAAAGGTTTTACTTCAAAGAAACATAAAACATCAAACAATAATACTCGCGAATGTTATCATAAATTGAAACGTAAACAACACTACAGAATGTAGTTTTTATTTTCCCCGTAATATTGTAATCTACATATTCGGGTTTTTACACAATATCGGTGTTCAGTCAGAGACATTAATATACGTACATATATAATAATTGTTTGGCGTTTTAATGTTTCTTTGAAATCTATGCAGCGACATTCATAAAAAAAAGTGATTCGTTTACCTTTTTGCGCTAAATTCAAAGAGCTTTTCATTTAAGCATATGTCTGGCGCCGTCAGTGTGACACATATGGTACATACCGATTTATTCCTTGTATTTCGTAACACGACGCTTTTTCACGCCATCTAATAGAAAGTAGCGTAACTACACACTATAGTACATAAAAATATAGTTCACATTCGTTCATAGGGCTGCGCTGCACTTAGAAAACTATTCTGCAGTCAAATTAGCGGTCACTTTGAAAAAAGTTGAAAACGTAAAATTTTACCATTGAAAAAAAAAAAAGCCAAGTTAGAGTGTTTTCGTTCGGAAAAATATAAAAGAGGTAAGTTATTGTTTATAGTTTATTGGTAAATAAGTACTTTATGATATCAGTTACTATCTATGCATATTTTGGATTTTATTTGTATGTGACTGATATGGGTCACTCTGCAATAAGGGTTATTATATGATACTTGATTGATTTCAGATGAAGCTCTGCAAAAGAGTAACAACAACCGAAACTGAGCATATTTTACGTATGTTATCGGGCAGTGAAGATGAACTAGAGATATCTGATGAAGATAGTGATGATGATCTTATAAGATTATGAGATTGAGTCATGAATGAAATGGAAAAAACGCCCTAATTACTTGAGTATAACTACATTGACCAAACCCTCAATAAATCTTTGTCACAGGCGAGAAACACATTGAACATTACAGTAACTAGCGTTTCTGGTAATGTCAATGCATCAACTTCAGCAGCAGATTCAATTAGATCGCCAGTGGAGTGTCTGAGAGCAAGTACATCTTCAGGTCAACCTTCTTGTCAACTTACTTTGAACACTACTAAATAAAGTAGATACATCTGTCGAAAGACAGCTTTCCAGTCACCACCTCCACCATTCATAGTTGAGGGCATGTTAGATGAAACTTTTTCGAGTTTTGATATGCCGTTACAATATTTTACGTATTTTTTTATGAGAATTTACTAAAACATATCATCGAGGAGTCTACAAAATATAGTATTCAGAAAGATACATCGAAACCATTTGTTGTCACTCAGAATAATCTGAAAAAGTACCTGGGTATTTATCTTTTGCTTGGATTAAATCCTCAGTCCAAAATACGCTTGTTGTGAAATCATAAATTGGGCATGCTACTTATTGTATGATACTCACCCATTTTGAGACAATTCGTAGATTCATACACTTCAATGACAACCGTAATTTTACAGCCAGAGGTGAACCAGGTCATGATCGCTTCTTCCGTATAAGACCAATACTTGAAACATTATAAAAAAATGACAAAACATCCCAAAAAGAGAAACGCTCTTAGCAGACGAAAAATGTGTGCTAAGAAAGCGTGTAACTTTTTACGTCAATACCTCTCCAACAAACCGCATAAATAAGGGTTAAAAAAAGCTATTAGTTTTGTGTGATGACAACGGTTTCGCTTATGCTTTCGAAATATATTCTGGCACTGAAAATGATCCTGACCTGAGACCGACTAATGAACCTGATTTGGGCGCGAATAGTAATATAATAGTGCTCCACTATCGAACAGTTCCAAAAGAACAAAACCACAAAGTTTTTTTATTATATTACTACATATCTCCGGATTTGATATGCTGGAAGAAAGGATGAAAACAAAGCCAAAAGCTGTCGTATCACCCAAAGACGCCAGGACTGATGGCACCGACCACTTCCCATTATGGTTAACTTCTAGGCAACGCTGTAAGTTCCCTGGTTGTAAGGGGAAATCATTTGTAAACTGCGAAAAATGTAAGGTGGCGCTGTGCCCATAAAGATAAAAAATGTTTTATGTCATTTCATATGTAAATTTCATAAATAAAGAGTAAAATTTATTCAAGAGGAAAAGACTACACATAATGATTACTGATCTCAATTTCTTCCTATTTTCTAATATATTGTAGTGTCTATGCTTACTATAATTTGACAAAATTATAGTTTAATTTTTAACTAAAATATAACATAATTAATATTGCTGTTTTATTTTATTCTTGCTAAGAATAAGTTATATACATATAAAACTTTATACACCCTAAACGTATTTTGTGACATATCTGGTACATACTGAAATATTCAAAAAAATCCGAAAATATTGAAAATAGATTTTTTTAATTATTTTTCTATAAACATAGGTAACATTTAAAAGATCATATTATTTTTCTGTTCAAATAAAAAAAATTGTGCACTGTTAACTTCATAGAAAATATAAGGCGACAAAACACGACTGCAGCGCCATCTGTAGTAATCCCCAATAAGCTTTATGGCGGGTTAATTCAAAATCCATATTAGAGAAATATTAATCAGAAGCGAAAATTGAAAATTCAAATGCAATAGCCGCAAATGCTATTGCATTTGAATTTTCAATTTTCTTTGCATAGGGAGGAATAAAATTTAACGGAAAATAGGACCTAGAAGAATAGATTGGTCAAATAATAAAAATAATCGCCTATTATTTTATAGGAGGCTATAAAAAGACAGCATGTTATTTATGTTTTATTATGTTCATTTTCTTATTTAACAGAGTCGAGGAATAAGCATCATGAAATTCTCTATTTTTTAAATTGCAATATCTCTTTACACAAATATGAAATACATTATTTAAAATAAAATCAACATTTTCATTGCGATGACAAGTGATGAATGAAAAATTTATATTTTCATAACAATATTCCAAAATACTCTTTTTTATATTAATAATGTGGCCTCTTGCGCGCAAAAAATTATTAATCATTGTAGCA